ACTCTTCTCTCAAATTTGTTGACTTTTGCTAATTAATTTTAGCATGATTTTGTTCATATTGAGAGGATCAAGGTCTTAAGAGTTGTAAAGCGAGGGTGGAGTTGACTGTAGTGATCAGTCCCCTCAAGGGAGGTTCCTTGACGCTGGTGAGGGGCTCTTGGGAATTGGATCTGTGCTCCGGTTCCCTGAATTGAGTCTGAATACCTTCCATCCCACCCACATGCGCTGTATAATCCTACGGGGGTAGCGCTCCCCCATGATTATGCTTATATGCTGTAGTGATCAGTCGTGTGTATGAACAATAGTACTTAAGAGTCCTCGCTGCTTTCATTTGATAGCTAGTCTTGCACCGTTTTATCTGCTAAAGTTGTCGGGGATCATGAACCTCTGCCCAGTCTCAGGGTAGGCCTAATAAAATGAAAAGGAAATATTACAAAAATAAGAACTGTTAAGAAAGAGAGAAGTAAAGATACGTGTTATACTGTAGAAATTTAAGTAAATATTTATAAGATTTGCTTGTCAGCTAATATATTCATGGGACAAAAAAAGACCAACTGATGTCTCCCAGCCTACTGGCTCACTTACTCGAGTCTTCCAGTATGCTTCGCTGGTCTTAGACCAATATGCATTAGTTCACCCTGTGAACTAGAATAACCAGTAGTTGTTTAAGCCCATATCCACGGCAGACTGTTTCACGGTTACTTAGTGGGGCTTCGTACATTGATATGCTCTTGAAGTGATGGGCCATACTGACGAGCCTCAAGTTTATATAGGCTCATCAAAAAGCTATTTTTTTTCTATCTGCAAGAATAGTCACTTTGATACGATTCTCTAGACTGAGGATAGGGCATACACAGTTCATCTCTAGCCACCTGATGGGAAAGTGATTTTATTGCCATGCTGTGTAGTGGTGTGCTGCTGACTAGAACACACATTAAATGTTTTAACTGTGTACAGCCTCAGCATTTTTGCTCGAGTCGAGTTCAAGACAGTGGCGTCGCTAGGGTTGGTGTCACCCCCATGAAATCCAAGGGCGGGGGATGGAGGGGGGAATAAACTCCAGTTACGTCACTACTGCATGACCAGTGACTCATGTTTAGCAATGAGAACGTTTAAGGGCCATAAACCGAACAGGAGAATACTTCTCAACTTTATTAATGATAAAATAAATAATCGTAGTAATATTAAGGAAACAAACTCAAATACCACTTTGAGTACAGGCAACAGATCCTACATTTATTCAGCTTCAACAATGCGAAAAAAAAAAATAGAGAAAAACATTGCAATATCAGAAAAAACACTAGTTCTGGTTTGACTTTGAGTGCAGGTAGCATCTCAGTGAATCTGATCTTACATTTCCTTGCCTTCAGTCCTGCAAAATCATCTATCACATCAGAATGATTTTCGCTATATAGGCCTATTTGTACTCTGTAATCATATAATAGGCTATATAGAAACGAAGGATTTTTCTCTTATGTTGCTGCAGCAGTTTTGGGCACTAGTGTCACATTTAGAGGCTCTATGGTGTCCCCCTGAAATGGCATCACCCGGGGCAGCCTCCCCCCCCCCTTAACGACGCCACTGGATGGACCTAGGGGGAATTTTAAGGGTCTTAGCGTGATCGCTTTAAGTGAATTTTTAATTAATGCTGGTCATTTTAATTTATACGAGTTATTTTGAAATTACGTGATAGTAATTTTTTTCTTGTATGTTTGTTAGTGTAAACAGTTTAGATTTTTAGTTAGCATGAGTGTATCTTTATTGACAAAAGCACTGAATGAGCTCGTGGGTAGAATCAGTCTGTATTATTATTATAATCAAGGGGGAAGCGCTAAACCCGGAGGATTATACAGCGCCTGGGGGGAGGGGATGTGGAAGGCATTCAGGCTTAATTCGGGGAACTGGAGCACAGATCCAATTCCCTAAATCAAGAGCCCCTCACCAACATCAAGGAGCCTTCCTTGAGGGGAATCAGTCTGTAAATCTCAAACTGCTGCTCATAGATGGGATGTTTCAGTGTACAAATATGAAAGCAGACCACAAATATTTTCCAGGTTAAAGTATATTGTCTTTCACACTTGTACTTCAGAATATACAGTTTTAAGATATTTTTACGGGTTCTCACTGATGTAGGAGCTTGACTGAATTGCTGAAGGAAGTTCTATATGCCCTCTTCAGATCGGCTGTGTTACCTGCTTTAAATGGAGATGTTAATCTTCAGTGCTTGTGTGTACCTATTTACACACGTTCTGCCAACCACAGGATGAAGAATTTTACGGGGTGCACAAACTAACCTTGTCCTGGGACAAAAAAAAAAAATTCTGTAATGTTAGGGTGATCTTGAATGAATTAGGTATTGCTAGGCTGTTGTTATTGGTTATTGTCATGATAGGGAGTTATATGGTTGATGCAATAATAGTTATGGTTGATGCAGTGATAGGGAGTTATGGTTCATGCAATGATAGGGAGTTATATGGTTGATGTGCAATAATAGCTATGGTTGATGCAGTGATAAGGAGTTAGATAATTGATGCAATGATAGGGAGTTATGGTTGATGCAGTGACAGGGTGTTATATGTTTGATGCAGTGATAGGGAGATATATGGTTCATGCAGTAATAGGGAGTTATGGTTGATAGTGATAGGGAATTATGGTTGATGCAGTGATAGGGTGTTATATGCTTGATGCAATGATAGGGCGTTTTATGGCTGATGCAATAATAGGGAGCTTTATGGCTGATGCAATGATAGTTATGGTTGATGAAATGATATGGTGTTATATGGTTGATGCAGTGATAGGGTGTTATATGGTTGATGCAGTGATAGGGTGTTATATGGCTAATGCAATGATAGGGAGTTATGGTTGATACAATGATAGGATGTTATATAGTTGATGCAGTGATAGGGTATTATATGGTTGATGCAGTGATAGGGTGTTATATGGCTAATGCAATGATAGGGAGTTATGGTTGATACAATGATAGGATGTTATATAGTTGATGCAGTGATAGGGTATTATATGGTTGATGCAATGATAGGGTGTTATATGGTTGATGCAATGATAGGGTGTTATATGGTTGATGCAGTGATAGGGTGTTATATGGTTGATACAGTGATATGGAGTTATATGGTTGTTGCAATGATAGGGAGTTATGGTTGATAAAGTGATAGTGAGTTATATGGTTGTTGCAAGATAGGGAGTTATATGGTTGATGCAGTGATAGGGAGTTATATGGTTGATGCAATGATAGGTTATATGGTTGATGTAATGATAGGGTGTTACATGATGCAATGATAGGGAGTTATTTGGTTGATGCAATGATAGTTATAGGGTGTTATATGGTTGATGCAATGATAGTTATAGGGTGTTATATGGTTGTTGCAATGATAGGGTGTTATATGGTTGCAATGATAGGGTGTTATATGGTTGATGCAGTGATAGGGTGTTATATGGTTGATGCAGTGATAGGGTGTTATATGGCTAATGCAATGATAGGGAGTTATGGTTGATACAATGATATGTTATATAGTTGATACAATGATATGTTATATAGTTGATGCAGTGATAGGGTATATGGTTGATGTAATGATAGGGTGCTATATGGTTGATGCAATGATAGGGTGTTATATGGTTGATGCAGTGATAGGGAGTTACATGGTTGATGCAGTGATAGGGTGTTATATGGTTGATGCAGTGATAGGGTGTTATATGGTTGTTGCAATGATAGGGAGTTATGGTTGATAGTGATAGTGAGTTATATGGTTGATGCAGTGATAGGGAGTTATATGGTTGTTGCAATGATAGGGTGTTATGTGATTGATGCAGTGATAGGGTGTTATATGGTTGATGCAATGATAGGTTATATGGTTGATGCCATGATAGGGTGTTATATGTTTGATGCAATGATAGGGAGTTTAGTTGATGCAGTGATAGTTATAGGGTGTTATATGGTTGTTGCAATGATAGGGTGTTATATGGTTGATGCAATGATAGTTATAGGGTGTTATATGGTTGCAATGATAGGGTGTTATATGGCTGATGCAATGACAGGGTGTTATATGGTTGATAGAATGATGTGTACATTTTCTAGAAGTCTTGAGGTTGAGAGTCTCTTGACTTGAGGAATTAAAGCTACCCCTCTTCTTGGGATAGAATCTGATTGCCTTCCATTCACCAGATGCTGTTTGACCCTCACAGGTTTATTGCCTAACCACAAATGTAATACAGTGGAAAGGGTACACAGGGCTTAACACTTCCATCTCTCTATAGTTACGGCAGTGTGCAGATTTAGAATCTGACCCTCAAACACCCTCCACGTATGTATTGTGTACGTATATCTCCTCTACTCCAGTGAGTACATATTGAGGACTGAGGCATTCCCAATAATTTAAATGCTTTATTGGCTCTCTGCGAGCAGTAAATGGTCTATCTGTTCCAGCTCTGATGTCTTTGGGGCCAGTAACACTGAACAATATTCTAAGAGATCACAAGTGGTTACAAAAGTGTTACCCTTTGTATCATTTCCTTTGTTTGGAAAGTTCTTATTAATCTGCCCTGTATGACCCATAGGGGTCATATAACGCCAGGGAACGGAACATAAGCATGTTTGATCCAAGGTGAACACGATTTACAAGGAGGATCCATGTTCAGATGTTTCTCCTTCACAGGCAACACACCTCGATAAACTTCCTCTTCGTAAATTGTCTTTCCACCATTTGCCGTCAGGTTTGATCCAAGGAATGGTAGTTCAAATTCTGTGAATGAAAAGCCTTGTAACATCAAGGCATTTTCCCCTTTCTTTCCCTCCTACCCCTTGAAGGTGCAGTTATTTGACAAGAGGAATGTGCAAGACACGTAGCAGAGTAAACCGCTTTTATAGCTGATGTTTAGTCCTAAAAACAGGCATTGTCCAAATGCCTTTTAAAAAGCAAAATTCTGCAGTGTCTCACATTCCTTGTTTTTCATCTACTGTCCAGATTCTTCAAGAAATGAAACTACTATTGAAAAACGTCTTTATTTCAAAGAAGTTATGCATTATGTAAAAAATTATTGTAAGTACAGTCATTGGAAAGACGTGATGACATCATTATAAAACTTAATTAGTCACTATGCACATTATTATACATGGTTACAATAAAAGAGGCCCTGGTTATGACCACTAAGTTATGGCACCTTACAGGACGGGTTTCACTTGTGTTTGGCACTGTGTTGGCTTGCTAATGGCACTTGGCACTATTGCCGTCGGAGACTGTCTAGACTGAGGTCTGGTTTTTGAAACCTGATTGTCCCTTTGGGTAGACAGACACACTGAGGTATGGGGATCACAACATTGCTTGTCTTACAGACGTTTGTCGTATTCTGCAACACGTGTCTTTCCTGTTCTCTGCACGTTAATATCACTATCTTAATCACACTGTTCACTGTCTTTTTGATCACAGAGAATGCAACTTTCACAGTCAAAGGTAAATTCTGCTTTGAGGCCACTTTGTTACACTATGTCTTGGATAATTACACAGTACACTTGCAACTACAGCTTGTTCTCTGAGTAATGATGTAGCTGTGGATTTCTCATAGCCTTTATTATGTGGTTATTGTTGTACTTGGCTCGCTCCACATGTGCTCTAAAGAGTGCCACTCTGGCCTGTTACAGGCTTCTGGAGACATTTGAATTATTGTTTACATTATGAGATATTTGTCCTCTGAGGCAGAACCACTGGGAGTTGACACATTATAAAACCACCTTAGTACACAACACCTGTACAAATATATTAATGTGAGGAGTCAATATTTACATTACAATTCATCACAGTCATCAGTATCGACAAAACATCCAAGGTCGATAGTCATGCTAATATGACAAGACCGGAGATCTGAGGTGCGCACTGCTGTGGCATGGTATCACTTTCCACACACAGCTGAAACACCCTACCCCATAAGCGTCTCTTTGTAAGAGGCATGGATTCTTTGCATTGCAGGTATCACCTGCTGTGACACAGTGAAGGGGTATACAAGTCTTCATTAACCTGATATGGCAGCCAGCAGGCGACAGTCACCTGGTAAGTTGATAATTTAGTGTCACTTTGTACGTTGCCAGTCACTGAGATAAACTACCACTGTTACCTGAAGTTGGGGCAGACTGCTCACACATACAGGTAACTATACTAATCGAGGTGCTGGAGTATGATTACTCATTAAGGAGCTGTCATTGGATTAACTGAAGGTACTTGTTCTCTTCCTGCAGTGATGTAAGGGATGAAGTCATGTCATTAATCACCATATTGGATGTCTCGGCAAGAGCAACAGGGAGAGGTGTTGCAAATCTTGATGTCCCTTGCATTGCTGGCTGCTGTGCAGACTGTGGAAGGACAGTGCTCTGTGAACTGGGTTCTGCATATCCTGCCACTGTACCATTGGGATTAAGCTTTGGCTTCTGGTCAGTAGTACTGCTCACCTCCTCCTTAACAACAGTTGAACTCCAGCTCTGGCACTGTTGAACATACTCCAATGTTCGTTGATATGTATCAGGCTTCATGAAGGTTTTGCTGTTGGCCTTACTGTCCACACACTTTGAGTCAACTGTTTTACTGTCTGAGGGCTTGGAGTCTACAGGAGTGCCAGGTATAGGTACAGTCACATCACTGACTGCTGTGGCTACTGTAGCTGGAGTTTGCTGCCTGGTACCCACCCCTGCATCTACAGTACTATTAGAAGTGCCACATGTAGCAGAAGCTGCATTTCCGTTATTGTTTTTGCCACCCGTTTTGGATTTGACACCTTTAGTTTGTGAGCTTTGACTAACATCTCTGCACTGAACATCACCTCCCATCGATCCTGGGTATGCAAGGGGCATTATACCTCCTGTGGGCATCATAGAATTCTGATACTGACCACTCATGCCCATGTATCCCATAGGTCCCTGAGCAGGCATCATATTCATTTGTTGCTGCTGCTGCTGAGGGCCATATTGGCCTTGATACTGGTTCATGTTCATCTGTGAGCCTTGCCAGTTGGAAATGGACCCTTGTCCCTGGTATGCACTCATGTCACCAGCCATGGCACTGCCTCCTCGACTCTGGCAGCCTGTGCAGGGTGCTTGGTAGGCTGGTGTGGGAAGGTTTGGTGGAGCCAAATGACCACATGCATGTACAGGACCATAGCTTCCCTGCCCCATGCCATAACCTGCACCTCCCTGAGGGTTTCCCATGCCTCCATATCTTCCTTGCTGCTGCATCATGTTTCCATACATATGTTGCCCCATCATCTGCTGCCCTTGTTGGTACTGCTGTTGTGAATATTGCTGTCCCTGCTGATGTTGCTGCATTGAATAATTCTGAGGCATAGGCTGCTGCTGCTGTTGGTAAGTCTGCGACATCTGATTAAACGCTTGTGCTGGACCTGCTGGGTTAGGAGTCATTGAAGCATTGAACTGCTGTGGTGCTGGGGACTGCATAGGCCCACCATTGTATCCATGGGGATGTGCAGGAGAAGGAACAGAGTATCCTGGCGAGGCTTGGGGGTACTGGTAGTTGCTGGCAGGAGACTGCATTGGCTGACTGGAGTATGCTGGACTGATCAACGGTTGATTGGAATATGCTGGACTCGGAATGGGCTGCCCACTATATGCAGGGGATGGCATTTGTTGATTGAGCATGTGATTGGGAGTTCCTCCTTGTCTACGGGTTTCTTTGGAATCGGACTTTAGGTTATCACCATTGCCCTTCTGTAAACAAAAATAGACAAAATAAAATGTTAAAAGAGGCATATTATTGTTACAGTCATGGGGGAGCACTAAACCCATAGGGGGTCATACAGTGCCTCAGGGAATGAAAGGCATTCAGCCTTGAAGCAAAGGTTCAGTTCCCTAGATCAAGAGCCCCTCACCAACATCAGGGAACCCTTCTTTTAGGCAGTAGAATTATCTTGGGGAAATGCTAAATTTATAGGGATGAGGAGTATTATTATTATAATCAAAAAGAAGGGAGGGATGAGGAGTAGATGCATAAAAACTGGTTTAAAATAAACATAAAATACATGTAGTAGTGAGATGCCTTTCTGGACAGAATTAAGGAAATATTAAATGGAAAGACATGGGATATGACAGTCTGTGACTTATATGGTGAAAGTATATATAGGGTCATTTGCTCAGACTGGGCCACATAGGTTAAGGAAATATTAAGAAATGTGCAGTACTGTATATACTGAAAGTATGAAGTCTAAGATTTACCCATTACCTTACAATGTTCATGAGACAAGAACAGTAATCCTGCCAAGAGTGCATAATGTCTAACAGGCTTTTATTTCACAATAAAGAACAAAAAGGCACAATACTGTGACTGAAACATACAATCCACACATAGAAGAGCGAAGCTTATGACGACGTTTCAGTCTGACTTGGAAACAGTCATCAGCTTCCTCCTATGTGCAGGTTATTTGTGTATTTCACAATAATTTGACCTGATGTCATTAGCTCCCTGAGTGGTTACAGTCAAGCTGCCTACCACCTAATTATTATAATCAAAAAGAAGCGCTAAGCCACAAGGGCTATACAGCGCCTACCACCTAAACCATGGTGGTATGGTTACGTGAATTGCATGGATTGTGAGTGTACATGGCACGAGACATATTACATTCTATGCATGGCAATGACCAGGGTTGAGGAGCACTAGAGGTGGCAATCCTTTCAAGGGATAGAGAAGCGCTCTAATCCTTGTGAAGGAGTCTTAATCCAAGGAAGTAGAGCTACCCTCCCCTTCCTCAGATGAAAACTGTGTATATCTACATACCTCTTTTATTGATCTCAAGCTCTGTATGATCTTTGTGGGGTTCAGCTCTTCAGGCCTGTGGCCTGGTGGCAAAAGCTCTCACTTCACATACTGAGGGTCCAGGCTCGATTCCCGTAAAAGGGTAGAAACACTGAGCGTGTTTCTTTAACTGGTTGTCCATGTTCACCCATCAGTAAAATGGGTACCTTAGTGTGGGTTGCATCCTGGGACAAAATTTACCTAATTTGCCTGAAATGCTCTGCATAACAAGGGGTTTTCTATATAGTAGTATGTCACTGATGTCAGCTGGGCCTGTATACCTTGTACATGTAGAAATAAAGATATTATTATTATTAAAAAGTGTGCTAGTGGGCGGCTTGTATTATGCTAGGATGGGGGCTGTATTTTTGTATTAATACAGCACAAAATAATTAATTTTCCTATATTTCTAATCATTACTTTCCATTCTCTAGATGCTTTATGACCCCTACTGGTTTAGCACTTCCCTATTAATATATTAATGCAATTAAGCTGTGATAACGTAACTATACTGACCAGGTTGAGGTAGTTCACCATATCATCTGGCAACACCAGCTTGTTCTCAATGGGCTCATCTTCAGCCACTTGGTCGAGTTGGAGCCCATGGTTAGGGTGGCGCGGGGTGATGGGCGGCAGGGGTGTACGAGGGTTAAAAGTGTTGTAACTATGATGTCTATGGAGTCTCCGACTTCCATCTTCACCCATGCCCATACCTCGATCCAGTGGCCGCACTGGGTCTGACGCTCTTCTGGGTCCCTCACACCGACTCTGTGGATCTACAGGGCCTAGGGGACCCATGGCACCAAAGTTGGTTGCCTGCCATCGATCACTCAGGGCCCCCATTTTGGTTGGTGTTGGCCCAGCCCTCCCTGGGGTTGTCCTGACTCGGGGAATTTCGTGTCTGAAGAGAAAAATTTGTTTTAATTCCGAGAGATTAAGCTTGTAATGTTTTGCCAAACCAAAATTCACATTTAAATAAGGCGAGAGGGAGGGAGAAAATAAAAAAAAGGGGGGGGTAATTTTAAGGGAACATAATATGCCAAGGGGTAAACAATGAATGCAGTGGCTTCTGGTATGCTTTGACCAAAATTGAGCTTTTCGGCAAAATAAAAAAATTTAGTTTTATGGACTCGGGGGCAGGTGAAAATAGTTAATATTTGTGGGGCCGAAAGAGGACTACGACTTTCCCTTTGTTTCAGGTGATGTGGGCAATTTTCTTTAGGCACGGGTACACACAAGTAAAACCCCCATATTATTTATTTTTTTTATTACACAGGGCCGATTCCCCCCAAGGCGGGTGGCCCAAAAAAAGAAAACTTTCACCACATTCCCCATCACTGTCTTGCCAAAAGGGGTGCTTTACCTACTTTCTTAAACTGCAACATTAACACCTCCCCTTTCAGAATGCAGGCACTGACTTCCACTCCGGGCTCAATCGGGCCTGCGGTTTTCCCCCCCGAATCCCTTCATAAATGTTACTTTGCCACACTCCAACGCACATCAAGTACAAATGTTTTAAAAACCCATTTGCCCCATTCACTCCTATCAAACACGCTCCGCGCTCTGGAAAGCCCAAGCCCCTCGACCACAAAACCCCCTTTTAAACCCCCCTCCATAAAACCTTTCCTAGGCCCGACCCACCCCCCTTCCTTCCATAAAATGTCTGAACCCCTCCAACCCTTCCTCACCCTCGGACAACAGTTTTGGTAATCCCGACCTCCCCAAACTTCCAAACTAAAATTCTCTCTTTAAATTTTCACCCACACTTGCCCCAACTGACATCCCACTCCTCCCCCCTTCCCCGCCAACTTTCATCACCCATGTTTCAACCCATTAAGAACGTTGGTAAAACAATTATTACTACAGAAAAGCGCCTTCCCCCAAAATTTTGACGCAACTATAGTGATAATATAGCATTTATTGTGGGGAGACGGAAAAAAAAAAAGAGAAGCTAGATACAGCGATTGATAAAAAAGGGGGAGGCTCGACCGTTCTCTTGTAGGAGTCCAGCATCCCGGGCTCTTCAACCCCAAAAGTTATACTTTTGTATCATCAAATCACATAAAAACCGGGTAAAAATTTTTCCAGTAGATCCTTCATGTGTTAGCTAAAAATCCCCGACCAGTATGTTTTAAATAAGTGACCCATGTCAGATCGATAGACGGGGTCCAAACCCCTTGACTGGTCCGAACCCGGGGTGGTTTCAAACTTTTTTGTGCACCATACAGGTTATTAATAGAAATTTTCCAAGGGTGCATAAAATTTTGAGTAAATCAACCTTAAAATCTTATAAGCGTGTGTAGTTTTTGTCAGTCAAACAAAGGGGGTTCCTGCAAAAATGGCATTTCTGGGGAAAATTTGGTGCACGCCCCTTGTGCGAACCCCAAAACTGCTCAAGAAAAGGTAAAACAGGAATGTTTTTGGGGTACCCAAATGAGATAAACTGGGACTAAAACAAAAGGGGAAATTAAAAGAGGTAAAACATCAAAGCGTTTCATAGAAAACCGGGGAAGTTTCTAAAACAGAGGGAAAACATAAAAAGTCGGGCTGAAGGGTTAAACTCCCCCTTGATACGGCCATGTAGTCAAAAACTATAAGGCGGGGAGATGTTTTGGAGTCAGAAAATGGGGGGCTGATGTGCGCCCCGGGGGAACATAATGGGGAAGCTGGAGGTGCGTCCTGGGGCGTAATGGTGAAGCGGGAGGTGCGCCCCGGGAGACAGAATGGGAAGCGGGAGATGCTGTCCTGGGGACAGTAAGGGGGAAGCTGAGAATGCTGTCCGGGGAGACAGTAATGGGAAGCTGGAGATTTGTCCAGGTAGTGGGGAATTTACGCAGGAAGGAATACATAAAAATGCCGCATGGGGACAGGAGCTAGTGGGGAAAAACAATGTAGTCAAAGATAAATAAAAACCAATTTTGCAACTAGAAATCCCGCAGGGAAATGCAAACAAGGGGGACTCCACTAGCAATAGTGGGATATATTACCAAAAACAAATGGTGGGAGCCCATTTTTGGGTGTAGGGGGATAGAAGTAAACAGGGAAACTGCACCAACAGGGAAAACAGTCACAAACCCCCAAAGGGCAAACGGAAACCAACCTTGCACATACTATGCACTGGGTATTGCTGGCGGGGGAAAATTGGAAAAACAGAGGGACGGCAACTATGACCACCCTAGGAAATGCCATGCCATAACAAAACGGAAAATGCAAACTCCCTTCCCTTAATTTTTCCCACCCGAACGTTACCTCTTCAGTACAGGAAGACTGTGCATAATTTAAATTGCCGGGGATACCAAAAAAAAGGGGGACAAAAAAATACAAAACCGGCATGGAAAACCCGGGGTAGCCAAACCACTCAAGGGGGGGTTTTTTTAGCCCCCGGAAGGAAAAAAAACTGGCGGAAAGGGCAGAATCTTTCCCAAACCAGTCATTTCCGGGAGTGGAACCACAGTGAGGCCCCACCCCAAAACCCAAAACGATACAGATACTAACCCGGGGAAAAAAAATCCCCCCCCCCCCAAAACAATCCCCCGTCCCGAAACATTCTTTTTTGAAAATATACGGGGTCAAAGCCACAACAAACAAAAAAATCCTTTCATCCGTGACTCTTGCAGGGGGCAAAGGCAATGTTCGCGGTTTCACTGGAACCCACTAAAGATACTTGGACAACGAAATATGGATCCCAGGTTACACCTATTCGATGTGCCCAAGTGAACGGAAAAAAGGGGGGGGTTGGCCTGAAAATTGCAGAGTCACTTTTTTGCAAAATGCTAATGCCTAAAAATGATGTAGTAAAAATTTTACATAAAAGGTCGAGAACCAAACCCGTCATTGTGATAGTCTACAAGCCCCCGGGTGCAAAAACCCCCCCAAACCCCGGAAAGCTGTTAAAATTCCACTCTGGAAAAACCCTTCCCCCCGGGCCCCCAACCCTTGCCCCGGGGGAAATAAAAGCAAAATGGGGAATAAACAAAAAAGTTGATAAAACACCCCAAGCAGCTTTAAAAAATCCACCCCAAAAACCTTTTTAAACCGCAAAAAAATTAATTAAAACCGAAATAAAAACCTAAATAGACTGGGAAAATCCCCCCTCACCCCAAAACAAAATACGATAAAAATATAATTCAAAAAAAAAATACCACCAACCCAAAAAGGTTATCAGAGGGGCACCCCCAACCAAAAAAAAATTAGTACAGGGACATTCACCAATTAATTCAAAACAAAAACATTAAAAAGGGGGCCAAATAACCGTTAACCGAAATTTAAACAAGATTTTTCTAAAAAAAGGGGGAAAATATGTAAACGAAAAACCGGGCCTTTAGGAGAAAAAAATACCCCAAGGGAAAAAGGGAAAATTAAACAAAGAGACAGGCTCCCTTACAAGGGAAAAAAAAAAAAATAAAAAAAAATCAAAATCCGCTTAAAAATTCTTTTTTTTAATTTTAACTTTTTTTTTTTTTAATCGGGGAATTGGGAAGAACTAAAAGCCTAAATGAAATCAAAGAAAACCCAAAAATATTTTTCTCCACCAAATCAAAACAGCAAAGCCCCCTAAAAGGGCCCCTACAAAAAAAATGGGTCCCCCAAAAATGACCAAAAAAGGAAGACTAAGTCCCAAAAAAATGAATTTTTAGAAACCCAAAATGAACAAGATCAAAAAGTTTTTTAGGAAAGCCAACCAAATTATTAAAAACCCCCTTCCAGCCTGACCCAAAAGGGTTCAACAGCGAAAAGCATGGGCCCTCCTCTGGGAGGGGGAGACTCGGCTCGGTTTTTTAAAAAACCCAAAACCCCTACAAAACCCCTTTACCAGGAAGGGAGCATGGAAAACTCTAAAAGTTCTAAAAACAAAACAAGCCCCATCCAAAACGTAAAAACGCAAAGTAAACCCTGCTTCCCTTCCCTAAAATTTTTTTAAAAGGGGCCTAAAAGAAGACAAGATCAGAAAATCAATTCAAAACCCGGCAAATGGGTTTTAAAGGCGCTCCTGCTGTCTAAAATAAAAACCAAGGTCTAAATCCCAAAAAAAAAAGAACAGAGAAAATATACAGATTTGAAAAGCCTTCGAAAAGTGTCCAGGGGAAATACGCCAAAAACTGGCTAAAATAACGAAAAGCCCGGGTGGACAAAATTTTTTCCTCAAACACGAGATGCCAAAGGTTAAATTTTTTTCCCCTGGGGGCTCTGCCCAAGCACAGCCGTTCCCCCTTTTTTCCCCAAATTTTTAAAACAAATGGCCCCCGAGGTTTCTTTCAGATAAGAACTGTGAAAATTTTTTCCTTTTTAGACACCCAAAGGCCCCAAAAACAAACCAACTTTTAGGGGGGAGAAAAAAAATTGAGTTCACTAAGAAAAAACATACTCAGATATTAAAACAGAGGAAAAAAAACTTCACAAGGTCAAAACAAATTCTCCCCCTAAGCGAAAACCCCAAAAAAACCTTTAGGCAGGTGGGGGAAAATTACCCAGGAATTTTAAACTTTCAACGCATTGAGAAAAAACAAAGGGATTAAGAAACCTTAAAACGGGGGGGAAACCCCAAGAACTTTATTCACTTGTTCCCAAAGGGGGAATAGTGCACCAAACACCTTTTTAAGGGAAAGGGGTTGCCCGACCGGGAAAAAAACAAAGGGAACCAGGGGGGCATAACAGTAAAAACCCCCCAAAATTAAGGGGGGCCCAAACCCGTATCCCCTGGAAAACGCAGGAGGGAGAGATACATGATTATAACACCTGGAAAATCCTAGAGGGACTAGTACCGAACTTGCACACGAAAATCACCCACTACGAAAGCAAAAGACTTGGCAGACGATTGCACCATCCCCCCACAATGAAAAAGCAGGGGGTGCCCACTACCCACGTTAAGAGACCATACAATAAGTGTCAGGGCCCGAGACT